ATTCATCTGGAGATGGGTTTAAAGGTAAAGGTAAAGGTTCCCCTCGCACGTATGTGCTAGTCGTTCCTGACTCTAGGGGGCGGTGCTCATCTCCATTTCTAAGCCAAAGAGCCAGCACTGTCCAAAGATGTCTCCATGGTCATGTGGCTGGCGTGACTAAACACCAAAAGCGCACGGAACGCTGTTACCTTCCCACCAAAGGTGGTCCCTATTTTTCTACTTGCATTTTTTATGTGCTTTCGAACTGCTAGGTTGGCAGAAGCTGGGACAAGTAACGGGAGCTCACTCTATTACATGGCACTAGGGATTCGAACTGCTGAACTGCCGACTTTTCGATCGACAAGCTCAGAGTCTTAGCCACTGAGCTACCGGGTTCGCTTTCCCCTAAAAATGTCTACAGGAAGTCTGATTGCCTTGACTAAGTACAATGGTCAAATGTGCAGTGGTGCACCGAAGCAAGAGGCTGTGCTACTGAGAAGGGAGTGAATGACTCCTATTTTTCCTTAAAAAAACCCTCAGATCAAATCAGACCTCTGCTTGCCGTTTCCAACAGAGTTCACACGCCTGCTTGTAAAAACCAGAGAGTGATCTTTCTTAATGACTGTAGCGACTGAAGGAATTCAGGAAGACGGTCTGATGTGTCTATGCTGGATGCTCTATTGCAAGGGGCGTCAACCTCAATTTCATTGAGGGCCACATCAGGGTTGTGTCTGACCTCGAGGGGGCAGGGTGGGCGTGGCCAGCTTGACGTCACTCGTGTCAGACCACTGTGGTGGCCCGAGTGCTTTGCCAGTGAAAATGGGCTCCCAATCTCTGTTTTCGGCTGGGACCAGTGGTGGGTTGCTCCTGGTTCTGTCCGGTAGTAAAAGCGGCGGGAGGCTCCGCCCACCTGCCCGGACATCATAATTGATGATCTGCGCTTGTGCAGAAGTGCGCGCGCGTGCTCCCATTGTGAACCGGTAGTAAAGGTAAGTAGAACAAACCCCTGACTGGGACAGCCTCTTGCAACCCTCTTGCCAGGAAAAACGGAGGTCGGGAGGGAGGCTGTCCCAGCCAAAAATGGAGATTTGGAGCCCATTTTTGCTGGCAGAGGGCAGTCCTTCGCTGTTTCCAGAGTGGCCCTGCGGGCCAGATCGAAACACTCTGTAGGCTGGTTGCGGCTCTCTGGCCTTGAGTTTGACACCTCTGTTCTACCGTATTAGTTGCACAGATGAAATTAGAAGCAGAAGCATCTTTCAGCTCCAGGGATCTGAAAGATCATTTCAGCCCAGCAGGAGAAGGAACAGATGTGCCTTCTCCCTGCTGTCTGCAGTTCCAATTCTCCTTGGAATCTTTGTTAGGTGCAAATTGCATTAAAAAAAAAAAGCGGGCCTTAATTTAAATCACATTGTCGTTAAAGTCTCATTAATTTGGGCTTCACCCTGTTTTTCCAGAACTTTTGTTAGCATAATGACTTCAAGAACATCTCTACTGCTTCTCAAACTTGACTGGGGTTGAGAGAAAGATAAATTAGATTACAGACAGAAGCTTTTTTAGGACATGCTAGTTTTTGCATTTACAGATATACTTGCCTTTGATTTAATATGGCTTCCTTCCTTCCTCTATCTCCCTTTCCTCCTTCTCCCTCCCTTCCTTCCTCCCTTCCCTCCTTTCTTTTTTCCTTCCTTCCACCCACCTTCCTTCCTTCTTCCCTTCCCTTTCCCTTCTTTCTTTTTTCTTCCTTCCCCCTACACCTTCCTTCCTTCCTTCCTTCCTTCCTTCCTTCCTTCCTTCCTTCCTTCCTTCCTTCCTTCCTTCCTTCCCTCCCTCCCTCCCTCCTCCCTCCCTCCCTCCCCTCCTCAATCCAGCTTGCTGTCATGTACCTAGTAACCAAGAACTCTAGCAATGGCAGTGCAGCAGACGCTAGGGATTCTACCGCATTTGTTAGCAAGTGAGATCCAACAATCTTATGAATTACAGCTCATTCACTCATTCTTTCTTTCTTTCGTTTTCTCATTCATAGATACGAAGAGGCCCTTAGCTACCATCAAAAGGAGAGAAGCACATCCAACATCCAGTTTTGTACCTTTGGTGGTACAAAAGGCACAGCACCTGTTCTTAGAGCAGGTGGCTTCCAGGGCAGAATTCAACAGCTCCAAGGAGCAGGGCAATCTCCCCTTAGCTTCTCTGATTTCTTTTCATAAAGTTGGGAAAAATGCTTGCGAAGGGCTGATGTTATGCTATTCATTTATCACCTCAATCAGTTCACGGGTGTGACTTTGGGTGTAAAACCCAAGATATGTGGTGCTGAATGCCATGGTGGGTAGGGAGGAGGTCCTCTCTCTTCCTGCTGATAATTTGAGGTTCTGCTCTTTTCTGCTAGTAAGATTACTAGCTTCAGCTCTGTGGCTGTGTTCACCATCAGTCATATCCCAATTGACTTAGGCACCCACAACCCAAAATTCCTTTTTTTGTGGCTTTTTAGAGAAACCTATCAGTCTGACCATGATCATTGAACACTGAGAGCGCATTCTGAGGTAGGAACGAGACAAAAAATAATAATAATCCTATGATCTCTAGAGGAAAACCATATCACAGTTACCATCTCCCCCAACACCCTTCTTCTAAGCCACGATTGCTATGTTCATACAGCATGGTAAGCCAAAACAAGCACATAATGCTACAACTTAATGGAATAACACCATCCAGTCAGAGCTGAAGACTCTTCTCGGATGAGAAGGGCAATGTGTTCAAATAAAAAACCAGAAAGTCCAGTTGCCTCTTGAAAAAGCACCTTTGGGACAACCATAACCTGGATGACTGAGAATCTCTGTAGACATTAAGCAGATCTGACACTTACTAAATTCTTAAAAGAAAAGAAAAAACCCAGAAATACCCTATTTGGTCCTTAACTGATCACAGTAAAGACCATGAGCCTTGCTAACTCGAATCGACTAAAGGTGCAACCTCTACGTAGTTTATGTGGGAAGAAGTCTCTGAGTTGATGGTCACGGTTTTTGGAAGTTGCCTCATTTGCTATCCCCTCAAGTTTGAGGAGGCCTCCAATTTTGCCATAATTTTGGCAAATAAAAAAAGAAGACCCATATGTAAAAGTAAGATAGACATCTTCATCAGGAAGATATGTGACAGAGAACAGAATATAACTGTTGTTGGCTTATTAATCATAACAACTACTTTCATAGCTACAGGTTGACATATCTTAGCAAATAGGTCAGCTTGATAGGTTATAAAAAGAGAGTCAGTTGGTCTAATGGTTAAAGCATTAGACTAGAATCTTGAAGACTGTGACTTTTAGCCCTACCTTAGGCACAAAACCAGCTGGATGACCTTCAGCTGGTCCCGCTCAGCCCTAAGAAGAAGACAAGGGCAAACCACTTCAAAAAAAATGTCCAGAAAATTGCAAGTCAGTCTACGCAGTTAGCAACTCTGACTCAAATCATCACACCCCCCCCCACACACAGAGAGAGACACACATACACATACAAATCAATCTTCTGTGAAGACCCCTCAAGAAAGTCCCACCCTGGTTCCCCAATAGCCTAAAGCTACCTCTGTGCCTTGGATAGCATCCAATTCCTTTGGGTTTCACCAATGAGAAATGCTTATATCCATTGCTTGCTATTGGAGTAACCCAGATACTGTTGGTAGCCAACTCTACCATCAGCAGTGATAGTATTTCTAAGGCAGAGATATGAAAAGAAAATATCTAAGGTTGGTTCTGCCAGCTGCTATAGTTACCCAGATGTTTCTCATCACCCAGCAGCTTGATTAAAATCTCAAAACAGAATTGGAGTGATAGCAGCTATTACCGGACTCTTATCAAATCTCTAAAGGATGGGTACATTTTCCTGAGATGGTTCAATATACATATATGGCAGGTGTACATGCAACTAAAACTTCACCCAGGACAACTGAGATGCTGAGACTGCATCACAATTCTTACACAGAAATGTCTCCTATGTACAAATTTGGCAACCTATGAAATTTAGATCTCTGTTCCATAAGAATTCTGCTACATGCAGTGAAGTCCTTGGTCTGTAGATCTTCTAAGGCCAAAGAGAGAAGGAGAATTCCAACTAGATCGACAACTGTCATCCATCACGGAAAGCATGTGCAGCCAATTGTAGTTGCAAATATATTTTAACAATTACAGACAACGGGGAGCTTGGGCACCAAAATCTCAGGGTTCAAAACTCAACAAAAGCCAACCTGTGTTAGCACAATGGAAACTTTGGCAGGACAAATAAGCCAGATCACAAACCAAAGGCCCTGTTTCTAAGAAGACATTCAGGAAGGCGGGGATATGACAACAAGAAGAAGAGGTTTCTCTTCTCCAGACCATCACAACTAAACTAGAGCAAAACAAAAGTGAAGCCGGTAGCCAATTCCAAGAACGCAATTGCAACCGCCTTAAGATAGGTTAAAAAACCTGAGCTTCTAAATATTTGCAAATGGACAAACATTTCACTCTAGTAGCAAAAGCAGTCCTGTGTGCTCACACTGCAGTATTTTGAGAAGATCGATCCAAATAAATTTGTTGGGAATGGATTAAACTTCCCCCTTTGATTTCGTTTCTGCAATGACACTCTTTGGAGTGTCTTTGTTCATAACATTGGAACAACAACATTTGTGCACCTCAGTTGAAACAAATGCTAATCCCAGCATCATCCCAATAAATGCTTGTTAAAACTGCAATCCAAGAGTAGGGCAAAGCACATGCAGGCCGGTTCGTTGAGTCTTTCTGGCAAAGTTAGCCCATCACAACCCTCAGGAGATCCTTCTACCAAAACTTCTCATCAAGTGCTCCCTGGAATTACAATAAATTCTCATCTGGTGTGCTTTGGATGTCTGGTTAAACCAAAAGCATGTTTGTATTTTAGTGATTTGAGTAGAAGTAGTAGGTTTTTTAAGGGTGGAAAATCTAATGGGCATAAAAAATTCAATTAATGCTAGTTCTTGTTATCGGTTAACAGAAGGCCAGAAGGTAGCTAATTGCCTACCTTGATCTTCTCAAGGCATCTTCATCTGGATCTTGCACTGCAGATGAAAAATTGGTAATGTTAGAAGGAGAAGCATCAGGCAAGACGTTTGAATGGAGAATGAAACCTTACTACAGTTTGTAGGGAAGGACTACATCTTACTCTCACCAGGAAAGGTCACTCTATAGAGGAAATCTACCGGAATCTCTCAGCATCATTTATTTTACCTAGAAAGTATCTGTACCTTCCAGTTTAGATCATGGTCATATTTCCCAATGGAACTTATTTGAAGAACGAGGGACAAAGTGGTTGTCCTATCCATTCTATAGCTAAGGCCATCGTATCACAGTTTTCAAACAAAAGTTTTAATTTGAATCCTCTCTGAAATTCCTATCTGCTTTGTCAATCTCGAAAAGTCTCCCCCAAATAAGCTTTTAGGAAAATGGATTTATACTGGCATTATTGACAGATTGCCTGATATTTGATCTAGCCAATCCCAAAGCAGGGGGTGTTTAATAATTGTGAAAAAATAAGAATAAACTATACGGCAGAAGGGCTGTTTTGCTTTTCGCTAATGAGAGTTGGTGATAGATTCATTCTTTACCAACAGATGGTTGATTGACAACACTGTTCATCTGCTATGCAAAACAATGTTTAATCCAGATAGCCCTACAGGAAAGTGGATTACTTGGGAGGAGGCTTGGCTATGAGGTTTCAAACCAGAGTCCAGCATGGATATTGCATTGGTCTTAAAAACTTCTGCAGCTTATTGTAACCACCATTAATATCATGACTTAGTTTGAAATTTGGAATCTTCTTGTTGTAGTGAAACATGCTTCAGTCTGTATGAACTGCTATTGTTTTGATTTGGAAGGCTTTCTTTCCTTGGCTCTTTTCTGATCTAATTTCAGCATTGATCCCCCCCCCCCCTGCACAGTAGACACAAAGGTCAAAATGATGCTGCCTAGCTCTTCTTAGTTGGGCTGGCCTTCAGCCAGTTCTCCTGAATGTTCTCTTCAGAATGTTAGGTCATGATCTTCTGAAATGTTATGTATTTGGCCCAGCAGGAATTATAAAGCTTTCAGCCATTTTTCAATAGACTTCAGTGTCAGAAAAAGGCAGAAGGACTTACACTTTTATACTTCTGAAAATGAGTGTGATCAAATATGGGTAAAACCAAACTATATCCTGAAATTTTAAGAAGCTCAAAAGAAGAAGATCTTTCTATCCTTTCTGGTCTTCACCCACTCCCAAGCCTCTTCCAAGACCAGGTGATTTGTTGACCAAGGAGAATCACACTAAATTTGATAGATCACTTCTTGGTTTGAGGCAATCCCCTTGTCTTATAGGACTTTTCTATATCTGTACATGGAATCTACAATGGTTTTAGGGAGACTATTCAAGTGAGAACACAGAATGTTGTAGAGAAGATGCAGAATGAGAAATGCAACTTTTATAAACTTCCTTCACATATGCCTTAACTTAGGAGGAAGGGCTAAATCATTAATTCAGATGCTCTCGTTCTGCTTAAGTGGAAGCAAACTTCTCAATTTCTATGGATTAATTTGGTGGACTTCCTTCTGAGTACAGGTAGTCCTCGACTTATGACCACAATTGAGCCCAAAATTGATGTTGCTAAGTGAGAAATTTGTTAACTGGGTTTTGCCCCATTTTATGACTTTTTTTCTGCCACATTTGTTAAGTGAACCATTGCAGTTGTTAAATTAGTAACGACTGTTAAGTGAATCTGGCTTCCCCATTGATTTTGCCTGTCAGTGACCCCCCCAGGGCACTGCAACTGTCATAAATATGAATCCGTTGCCAAGCATCTGAATTTTGATCACATGACCATGGGGATGCTGCAATGGTCATAAGTGTGAAAATGGTCATAAATCACTTTTTTCAGTGCTGTTGAATTGTCACTAAATGAACTATTGTAAGTCGAGAATTACCTGTAGTGTATCAACCCTAATCACTGTTTTTGGAAACTATACCTGAGTTAAACAGTTTAGAACAGAGATCTTCAAACTTGGCAGCTTTAAGACTTGTGGACTTCAACTCCCAGAATTCTCCAGTCAGCATAACTGGCTGGAGAATTCTGGGAGTTGAAGTCCACAAGTCTTAAAGCTGCCAAGTTTGAGGACCCCTGGTTTAGAAGGTTATTGAGGTAGGTCAAAAGTGACCTTGATGGGAATTCATTGTGATCAGGTAGACAAGGAATCAATTGCTGAGAATCAACAGAGTTGTTTTCCCATTCACATGAGACCAGAGCTCAGTTTGAATCTTGTTTTGCTGTGTTTGTTTACAAGAAGGTTGGCATGATCTATAGAGTAGATCAAGTCAAGTCAAGTCAAATCATATCAAATGTTTAATATGGTCATAGACCAGCGCTGTTCAATAGTTAGGTTTTCTGCCCAAATTATGGTGTGTTGTTGTGTACCATCTTGCAAAACATAGATTTTGCTGTTCCGATGATCACTACTATAAAATCTAGGCTGGATATTGTGATATTTTCAAGGGACCTCCACTTGAAACTTCGATTATTTGAACGCCACAAAATGGAATGCAAAAATGCTTTAAAACAAAGATAGTAGAACCTTGGGTTTACAATTCTCCATTTAAATGCAAGCAACAAATTTTTAATTAGGACTTCATCCTCAAATAACAACATAAATTGTATCCAATGCAGTCTGGACAATTGATTTAATTTACATCATTTGCCGCAGTCGATGCAAATGGTATAAATTAATGCAAATAACATAATTACATCAATTATGTCACTCCATGGTGACAATGTACCTCAATTATGTAATTATGCAAATGCTGTAAATTACCTCAAGTTGCCTATGGAAAGTAACCGAAGTATCTGAGAAACATTCTATCTCAACCTCCTAAAATCTGCCTATTTCTATCTAGCGTCCATTGTCATCGCTTTATGAATGTATGGCATTTTCATGGCCATAACTACGTTCTTACAAAATACTTCCAGCATTCCACCGCTAACTCAATCAAAACTCCTTGGTAGTTTTGTTGCAATCACAATAATTGTTTGTAAGTTGTCTTTGGGCGTTAAGGATCACTGCCTCCTTTTCTCTGTGGCCCAAGAAGGCCTCAACAGCTCTAACTGAAGTTACTTAGTGTCTGAAGGTGCAAATTCTCTAACAGAAGATCTTGCTTTCTCTCCAACTCTTTTCTTGGAGGAATAGATGGCAAGATGGATTTTGATGGTATTTTCACAACACAGTTTATGATGCAAAGTTACCTTGTTTCCCCCAAAATAAGACCAAGCCTTATATTAATTTTTGCTCCAAAAGATGCATTATGGCTTATTTTCTGGTTAGGTCTTATTTTGGGGGAATATGTTTTCACAATATTCTCATGTTTCCATTGACCCAATTAAGTATATGGTGTGAACAGGACTACTGTCTGCAATTTCATCAAGACTCAGAAGTATTCCAGAGAAAGTAAGATGGTGGTATGGGGCTCTTGGTGTTTTGTGAGTTTGGTTGTTTTCTTGCAGATGTTCCATTACCATACTGGGTAACATCGTGCTAGAAGGGAGTTAACATTGAAGATGTTACCTATGCTGCTAATGAAATGTTTGCAAGGAATGAACTAAACTCAGATAGCACCAAGGATCCCACAGGTCAATTCTGAGCTACACGTTTGGTCTTCTATAACAGGGGTCTCCAACCTTAGCAACTTTAAGACTTGTGGACTTCAACTCCCAGAGTTGAAGTCCACAAGTCTTAAAGTTGCCAAGGTTGAAGACCCCTGTTCTATAAGGTGGTGGTAATCCAACAGTCCTTGCTTCCCCTTAATCTGGCACCACAGATTCTTCTCTACCTTCTTGCGTTGACTTCTGCCTGCCTTTGCTTCTCTACCTGAGGCTGGCATTTGCCTTCTGTGGGAGGACAAACAAGGTGGTTGATGGTGCCAATGAAAGGATACCCCAACAATGCCCTTTCAAACCTGGTAGTGATTTTCAGTGAATTACAAACAAAAGTGGCTGTTCCTTAAAAAACTGTAATTCAGCTTTTCTTTGAAACTGAGGATTTGCCTTCCTCCTCCCTTTCTTTATGATAATGAACCCTTCCCCCTTCCCGCCCCCCCCTCTTCCAGTGGGGCTACAATAGCACTTCTGACTGACATCTTCAGGGACTTCTTGAAAATGTTGTATTGTCTTCATATTCTGTGATGGTGGGTCTATTTCTCTTGTGATAGTGATAGTGCGATAGTGTTCTCATTTCTGTTGTAAAGTAGTTCTGAATCACTAAATAAATATCTGGTTGTGAGACAAGATGTAAATATCACAGAGTACAGTCTGAAAAAGTATAATAAATTGGAGAGACAAAAATGCTCACCTAAGATTATTGCCCCTTAGAGTTAAGGATTCACCCAAAGGATTTTAATTTTATAACAGAGACCTGGAGGCCTAACCTAAAGAATACATCTGTCTGTCTGTCTGTCTGCTTGGCTGTCTCTCTCTTTCTCTCCATCCATCCTCTATCTATCTATCTATCTATCTATCTATCTATCTATCTATCTATCTCCTATCTATCATTAATTTATCTCTCTCTCTCTCTTTGTATTTATCTATTTGTCTATCTATCTTTCTTTGTGTGTGTGTGTGTCTAAGCAAGCACCAACCACTGATACCCAACAGAATGAGGAGAAAGGAAGTTTTCCATGAAAGAGGCGAACTGGACATCCCAGCTGGACTTACTGTACTCAGTTCCTGTCATCTGAGCAAGGACTCGGAAGGACTTTGACTGCAAGTGGGAAGATCGGCGGCTCCAATCATCCAGCTCATCTTCAGACTTGTTTTGAGTTTTAAGCACAGCCTGATAGACTGGAGAGGCACTGTCTACATGAGGGTCTTTAACAGGAAGGTTACTGCAATGCAGAAAGTAACATGCACTGTAACATGGCTCATGAGATCGGCCCCGCCCTTCCCCAACATCCTTGCTGATGTTTAGCCTCAGATCCACAATGGCTTCTTCTTAGCCCCAGAAATGAAGTTGTTACTTGTGAAACAAGCAGATACAAGGAAGCCATGATGCAAAGTTGCCTTTCTCTTCACAGGAAGCATGGAGACTATTGTTATCTAGGACACGTATCACACCAAGAGAAGTAATCTGGACAGGATATTTCTTCATCACATCGGACAAGCAAAATTTACCAGTTTATTTATTTGCCCGGCTTGCAACTTTTGGAAATAGCTCAATCATCATAGCAGTTCAGAGAATGGCATAGGATTACTCATAATTCCAGGAAGTTGCTGACCTGTTTCCACTACTTAGACCAGAGGTCTTCAAAATTGGCAGCTTTAAGACTTGTGGACTTCAACTCCCAGAATTCTCCAGCCAGCATAGCATTGTGGACTTCAACTCCCAGAATTCTCCAGCCAGCATAGCATTGTGGACTTCAACTCCCAGAAAGCTGGAGAATTCTGGGAGTTGAAGTCCACAAGTCTTAAAGCTGCCAAGTTTGTAGACCTCAGACAATGACTGAGTCCAACATTGAAACTTTGGGAATACAGAATCCACACCTACGTTTTCCAGGAAAAAACCTGATCTTCCCAAAGCCTTTTCACCAAGAGAATGCTGCCTTAACAACCTCATCAGCTCCCTCCTCATTGGCATGGCTTGGAGTAGGAAGCGGTGATTTGAATACTGCATCTGACTGGCGTTTGGGAGGCCTTGACAATGAGTTCTATAATGAAAAGGCTTTCTGTTCTGACTACTCTTCTCTTCTTCTGATTGGTTTGTGAAGTCCCTATAACATGCATGCCCCATCATTGATCCAGTTAAGTGTGTTGTGTGGATAGGACTTCCATGTGACTGATAATGACGTTTCAGAATTTGCAGACCAGCAGAGATCACAGTGTGAAGCCACATCTATGTGAAACTGTCACTAGCATGTGGTCCTAAGAAACTGAATGGAATTATATGGAGTAGACTTTCTAGGGCTACATCTTTGTGGTGGCTTCATGGGCTGGGTATGGAGATTCAATGCCACGTCTCATTTCCTAATTCCCACTGTCCTTCTTGATCTTTGTTCTCCAGGGACAGTAACACGTTTCTTCTGCCACCTCCCCAATATATACTAGTCTCCCATTGCAACTGAACAACTGATCAGATGTACACCAAAACTCAGTCAGCTACTTCTGAAGTTCATAGCAAAAGCCAAAGGAGTCTGGCCAATATCCATGTTGGCTAGAAATTATAGCAGCTTAAATATAACACTTAGAAATCACAGAGGTAGGGGAACAATTGAATAATTTGAAAAACTGTTCTCAATAGTAGTATTTGCACCAAGAAAGTATCATCAACCCACCCATAACAGTCTCAGGAGGACACATTGAATGACTTGAAGGAAAGGACCATGCCTTCAAGCACACCTGGTGGAATAAGAAAGTCCGGGAAGCCTACAGATGTTGGTGAAGCCCCATCAACTGTAGTCAAGTTAGTTGATTGGTTGATGGGAATCATATCATAGTTCAACACCATCTGAAGAGTCAGAAGTCTTCTCCTCACATTTTTGCTGGAGCTACCGTAGATATCTCATCTAGCATTCTGTTTATAACAGTGACCAAGCCAAATGTTTGTTGAAGCTCCCGAGCAGATAACGATTATGACAGAATTTGCCATATCATTTATCAGCATCACAGAGTCTTGTGAAATATTGGCTTTGAACAATGCTAATTCTTTGCTGCATGCATTTATCTAATCTGCCTTTAAACATCTCCTCATCTTGTGCTAACAAATATCTCAATTGTGTTCTCCTCAAGAGAACTTTGCTTTGTTTATTGTTGGGTTTTATTTTCTTAAAAGAATAATAGCCAACAATAGATGTCAGATAGTTCCCCATATTAACTATATCATTGACAGTTGATTACTTAAACAAGAGAGTTAATAATATCAGATGTTACATAGGAGGGGAAAAAGTCCATATACTTGATGCAAATAGTAGAATGCATTTTAGAATTCTGGTCTGCGTATTGACTTGGTGCTAGCACCAGAAAATAATTTAACTTACTCCATTAAAGCAAAAACCTATTACAATTGACAGAAAACCACAAAAATCTGAATGGAATTGTAATCAACTGAATCAACTGGAATCAACTGAATCTGTGAACATTAATCTTTCATAGGAGACATGGACACTACATAGCCCAAACAGGCCTGCAAGGGAAGCTGTGAATTTAGAAGGGAAAAGGGAAAAAAAAGAGGATTTCTTGTGAAGCACAAATGAAAGGAAAATGCTAATATAAACAAAAAACACTCAGCTCAACAAATGAAAAAAAGAAAAAAAAAAGAGAAAGCACACAAAAGAAAAGCAAACTGTGTCAAAGGCTAGAGTGAAGGACACAATATGTTTAGTAATATATCCATGAAAATTCACACAAATGTTGTATTTGCCCAGAAAGAGATCTCTGGTGAAATTCTTGGGAAACTCATGGGACAAAAAAATAATAATTCTTGAATACAATCCAAGATGCAAGAAAACACAATGAATGTGTGTGTATCTCTAAGAACTGATCGTGAAACAAAACACCTCCTAAACACAAATAAGATTTGGTCCAGAGATGACCTTAAAGAAATGATGTGGGAATTATCCTTGGAATTGTGGATTTTTTTACTTTTCCTTTCTCCATTAACTCCCTTTTGCTTGTTTTGATCAGGATTAAATGCAAACCTCAATCGTACTTAAAATAGATCCACTGAAATTAGTGGCGGACAAGGGGATTCATTCATCAGTACATTTAAGATTTGTGGATTTCAGAGAATCTTTTCTGAAGCAGCTCTGGTTCCACTACACGAATTTTACTTCTGTTACTAATATGTCATCCTACACGGATCTCCAAAATGCATTTATTGACTTACTCCGATTTATCTGCCACGACAGTCCAAAGACTGGGAATAGCTTTCGACCACATGTGAAATATGGAGAAATACAGTAAGAACCAAGTACAGAAATAATTTAAACCATAACTGTTACGTAATTGCAAGATTAATTTCCAGGATCTACAGCATATATCATGTCTGGCCACCAAGGGAGAATCAGTTGGCTAATGCTACCTGAGAGGACAATGTTTGTATCCCAGGAACCCAAATCTTTCTGGCAAGAGAGGAACTTATGAATGGCAGAACATTTTTGTCTACAATCTACACATCAGGTCTAAAGAGAAATTTCTCAGAAAGCTGCTCTATATGTGATTCTACTACTAGTGCAAATCTGAGGTGGCTTCCAACAACCACATGCAGATAAATCCTTTCATAATACACAAAGCTTAAACCAGCGAACCAACTCTCCATGCCCGTTGGGTGGTATATCACTGAAGCTACTGGAGTTTTGTAGGAATACGTGTTCCTTCTTGGGATCCATTATCCCAGTGGGCCGATATTTTAATCTAGTGTGATTAGCTCCTTGAGAAATATCTCTGAAGCATTGCCACCAAATATGGGCCCATTCAGATTTATGTAAATGACTGAAGGCTGAGTTACAACAACATCGGAAAAGATGCTTTATCACTTGTAAAGCACTTGCAGGCATCATAAAATCTCTCTCTCTCTCTCTCTCTCTCTCTCACACACACACACACACACACACACACACACACACACACACGGAGAGAGAAAGAGGGGGAGAGGGAGAGAGAGAGAGAGAGAGAGAGATACACACACAGAGAGAGACACACAGAGAGGCACATTGTAGGCATTTGACAATCAGCTCACATTTACAACTGGTTGCAGCATCCTTTGGTCACGTGACCATGATTTGTATCTTTTTAGCTAGTTTCCAATGTTTTTGGGGTTTTTTGCCAATTTCTGGGGGGAAAATACCCATTCTGGAGAAAGGATTTGGATTTACAACCTTGTTGTAATTTACTTAATGATCACTGTAAAAATGGTCCTGAAATTGGATCCAGACATGTGAGAACCTCGACTTATGACTCTTATGACTTAGAAGAGCCACGGTGGTGCAGTGGTTAGAGTGCAGTACTGCAGGCTACTTCTGCTGATCACCGGCTGCCAGCAGTTTGGCAGTTCGAATCTCACCAGGCTCAAGGTTTTCTCAGCCTTCCATCCTTCCGAGGTGGATAAAATGAGGACCCAGATTGTTGGGGGCAATAGGCTGAACTCTGTAAACTGCTTAGAGAGGGCTGTAAAGCACTATAAAGCGGTATATAAGTCTAAGTGCTATTGCTATTGCTAGACTGAAATTCTGGTCCCAACTGCATTTGTAAATTGAGGATTATTTGTAGTCCCTCATCTCCCCAGTGTAGAGTGGATTAACCCAGAATGTACAGATGCTGAATTTATATAATACTTTCGCCATCAAAGATGGAAAATTGGCAGGTTGGACTTTGTTACTGTATTACTGGAATTAAATGCAGGGGGACAGTTGTGGTCTTATCCAAAAACGAAGGAACAAAACTATTTCCACAAACCCAAAGTGACAAAACCAGGATGTGATGTTGCTTTAAACTCTGATGAAATCATTTTGAAAATTTAGGTTAGTGTTGGGAGTTTGCATGCTTAATGCACCTCTAAAATAAACAAGCATTGAGAGAAGTGGATGATAAAGAACAAGAGGAGAAAATAACCTTGAATTTTTTCATTTTTTTCTCATTCTACAGAGGTGGGAAAATGCATCTATTTATGCCAGTGGAAATTCATGGTGAGTCATGTGTTCCAAACTCAAGAGAAAAGTGATGGGGATCCATAATTACATAATGCTGGGAGAAGCAATACGAATTAGTATAAGAAATCGGTGAAAACCCAAAGGAATGTGTCAGAAAGGAGGAAAAAAAGAAGAAAAGACATGGTTACCAGTAAAAAGAAGAATAAGGGAGTAAATTAACACTTTGCAACTGAAATAAGATGGCT